TATACAAACTTATTGAAAACCACAATATATATCTCCCTTCTTTAAGCAATAATAATTTAAAATTTAATTTCCTACTAAAGGAGCATAAGAAAACAAAGGTTTCCTGTATGTTTTAAGTAAGTAACGTATGCGGATTTTTGGTATCAGTGGATTGTGCAAACTCAGGCGGTCCCAGCTGGATTCGAGCCTATGAGAGTACGAGTGAAGCCTACGCATACGTTAATACAGTAACGGTGCCAGCAGAATTCCAAAATAAATGCTAGCCGAAATGTTAGAAAATTGTCTTGCACTTGTTTACGATGGCCCTGATAGCCGCATCGGAATCGTTCAACCAATAAATTGCAAAGATATTTTTAGGCATACCTTTAGTTGGAACTCACCGTGTTTGATTTCGCATGTGATTGTAATTAAGAATTTGAACATTCATCGATAAAAACAACTGTAGAAAATAGTTTAAAAACTGCGTACAACATTCAAAAAATAATAGTATGTATATTGTTAAGGTACGACATAATATGCTTCGAATAAATATATATTAACGCCTATTTCATCGTTCTTATCCAAGGGTCTTCGAAACTATATTCTTCTTGGATGTGCGTTTTGCGTAACTGCAGTTGGTGTTGCACTCAACGCTCTATCTCGATGAGCACCTTGGATGAACTCGCCACGATTTACTCAAAAACAATGTCCGCTTGTAAATTCCACCAAATACATGCACTTTATCGTAGATCAGCTGATTTTTGTTTTGTTTTGATTGATAATTCATTAAGAAATGGCCTAATTAAATTCAGGTGCATAGATGTGAGGATATAGGCCATTTTGAAACATTAGCCAGTCGTGATTTCATCCACATTTTTCCCTTTAGAGGGGTCCGGTTTGCATTAAATTAAAAGTAAAATCAAGACATTTGGAGTGGACTACTGAATGAATGATGCATTAACCCGGGCATAAATACTAGAATGAGAGCAAAAAAAGTACCGTCTCCAACAGTTTAATGGCCTCGGGTGGTTCCTAAAGGCCCCTGCTCGGTGAAACTTGATAAGGATATTTGTAGCAATTTAGAAATGACTCTTGTTGATCGTGTACCCAGTGAACTTCACATTACAATGCAGAGGATGGCCGGGTATTAATTGGCGGTCAGTACTGTCAGTCAGAAGTGCGAATAGTTCAATTTGGTCGTACACATTAGAACCACCTTTTGTCTACAGGGTCTGCGGTTGATGTCATAATTAAGTGACGGGCCTAGTAAGTCAGAGTTGACCTTGGCTATCCTTGGCAAAAGAATTGCTTGTACTTGCAACATTTGGAACCACTCGTTAGAAAAACGATTTTGGGTTAAATTCCGGGAAAGAAAGGGCGAAGTTTAAGGCCAGGTTTAGGGTTAAGGCTGGGATCACGGTTGATGTTTAGGTTGGGGTTAATTCTAGGTTTAGGACAAGAAAATAAGAAGTTATTCTGGAATTTAGCGCAAGGCCTCCTGTGAAACGGCGGGGGTGCGTTGTTCATTGCGTGTCATGCCGAGGGCATACTAGTGGTGCCGACCCAGCAATTGCTAAGATCGCCGCAGCGAGACTCATTCCCTTAACCCATAATTGATGGCTCCATCCTTCAGATACCGATATTGGACTGGGTTATTTGCATGCATTGATTGGGGTCCTTTCGGTGAGCCATTACATGCCTAAGGATTTCCTGGGACGTCGACTGGTGGTTGACTGTTTCTGAGGTACCTGACCGATCCAAAGTCGGCCAGAGAATCCTTATTTGCGAGAGTTACGGCAATACTGTTCTCTCACTAAAGCTAAGGATAAATTTGTGCCAATTCACCCATCCTCTTTTTATTGTGGGTGACTGCGCTAAACACCTAGAATCAAACTTTGCCCTTCGATCAATGTAAGGAGATCAACGGGATCCGAAGGACTAACCTTCTCGGCACGTTTGTCAAAACTCTACCGTATTTATTTGGCCGATCGACTTATTGGTGCGTCGGAGATCTTGGAAAGAGACGAGACAGGTGGATTCGCCCCGAAATTTTTAAAGTTAATTGAGCTATCTAGGCTACGGAAATTTCAATCACCTAATACATTTTAAGTCTGCCCGTGTTATTCTCGATGATATACCATGTCCCGAGAATATGAATATGTTAAAGAACTTCTTAACTGCCTCTCAAATCCGCTTACGTAGTATAAGTGTCGAACGCAAATACCACAGAAGTGGGGTTCTACTGGGGTATATCCGCCGGCAGGCCAAGATTAGGATCACGGTTGCTAGTAAATTTGGAGTTAGTATTAATAGCATTTTTGGGACGTGGAAATCTAGAGGTACACCCAAAGTACGTTTATCTTCCCGGTCAGTTCTAGTATCGCGAACGATAGCGTAGTCCGCATGCGAGCGCAGGATGATTAATTGCACATAAATCGTATTGAGACTGGCAAGCCAGGGCGTCAGGAGCACTAACACACACCACAACTGGCTCAAATGTCTACACAGCCCACTTATATCAAGCCACCGCATGGGCTATTCGGCCATGCGCGCCTTCATATAAATCGGTGGTTAAAGTCCGTAGGCATAATCTCAGACCTATACTCCCGTCCAAACATCAATACACACTACAAGTATCCGCGTTACATTAAATAGCATATGAAAAGCACAAACATCCCTTATGCAATTCGGGCACATTAATAAATCGCTTGATTTTCCGGGAGTACGATAAGCTAGCTACCACCGTCATTTCGCCCATAAAAGAAGGTTTATAGATTGATCTAGCATCGCATTCAAGAGGATTTCATAGATGCTGCATCAGAGACGACATCATTGATGTTGAACACTAACAGTGTGCTGCAGTCATGCCATAACATTTACACATTTACACGAATGATGATCCATCCAATCCATAAAAGGACGCTCTGGGGTGTTTTAGGTTAAGTTGACAAATACTTCTAACATTTTCTAGGGTAGTTGTCCTCGCAGTAAAAAATTATTATTACTGTTTTCTCCCAACGCATCTCGAAAAGGTTCATACTATTGTTAATTGTTATGCAATACCTTCCAACTTTGACATTAACAAATAGTTTTATAGACACTGATGGCTACTTTCTGAAGCAGTTAAGATGCTGCCTGAGATTAAATAATCAAAACTAGTCTTTGCCAGTTGTCAGTAGTTGATAACATCTCTTCGCCAACTTTTAAACATCGGACTAGCGTCTAGAAAGTTCAGAGGAAATATTCAGCTGAAATATGGCGGCCTCTGTAGCTCGTTCTGAGATACACTCAAGCGTCCCCTGGCACATCTTTAGGAGTGTTCAAAATATAGCATCTAATCCAATCTGTTTCGTAGATTTGCTGTTCGATTTCATCCAATGAAGTGGGTTGTTGCTGTTGCATACTGAAAACACTCCGCTGGGATGTGTCTTTCGGGAATTCAACTACAGCTTCGTTCACATAAACAGGATAGCCTACTAACCGAAAAGCACTACAGTGGGCAGGGAACTGGGAAAAATGCAACAGCGTAAATAGTGCGTGTCCTCGCCTATGGCTACGATGAATTGATCATTGCCAGTCGCATGTTCCAAGGTAGGGTGTTAAGATGTCAGCTGTAATCATAAAAACTCACTCAAAAACCATCGAAACCTGAAAAAGTAACACGGATTGTTATAGAGCCCACCCACAGTCCGCACTCCAACTGATACCCAAAGAGTCTTCTGAAAGCAAGCGGTTCAACCGACCGTCAAAAACAGCAATGCTTGCTTGTGAGTTAAGCTTGCTGCCTGATTTGGACACTGATTTTTATCTCGGTAAGATTTCTAACGTTGGTTACTATTATGCAAATAAAAAACTGATCAGATAAATTTTTTGATCTGGGAAACTAGCAAAATCAAAGTATC